ACCATCTTATTCAACTACACACCCACTTCCCAGATGGCACCCTCCCATAGCCTCCCTGCCCCAACTAGAGCCCTTATACTCTGATATCCTTACTACTATCTGCTGTGTTGTCAGCACCCCCAGCCATTCCCCACTACTTGCCCTTCTGGTGAATCTAGTCAGCCGATCTAGAGGTCTTTGTTTTAGGAGGGTCAGCTGTAAGACCCACCATATTCTTTAAAACATCAAGTTTTTTTAAAAAGAGCTTTTGTTTTTTTTTAAATCATGGTGTATTGTGTGTGTTTGAGGTGGGGGGTGGGAGGTGTATGTGCACATGAGTGTGGGTGCTAGAGGAGGCCAGAGGCATCTGATACCCTGGAACTGAAGTTACAGGTGGTTATGAGCTGCCCGACCTAGGTAATAGCAATCAAACTGAGGTCTCCTACTGAATCTGGGTCCCTCTACAAGAGCATCAAGCGCTCTTCACTACTGAGTCATCTCCCCAGCTACTTCCTCTACTTTTAATTTTCTTTTAATTGACAATGTTTAAATGTTTTCCAGATAGTTAAAAAGGTGAAATATTAGTAATAGAAAAAAAAATGAGAATGGGTAAAAGAGGATACTAACTGTGAAAGCAATTTTAATGCAATTTAAAATTATTTAGTGCAATTTAGTGATTATTTATGAATATAGTTTAATACTTTAATTTTCAAATTAAAAATATTTCAAAGAACAGCAAAATTGTTTAAATCAAGACTTTCACAACTTGAAGAACCATGAGACTTATGAAGCACAAAGGTAATATTTCTCCTGAAAATAGAAGAAATGTACTAGCAAGCAACCATAAGCTATTTGTGTGTGCTGTAAAGTATTGTCAGATAAACTAAATAATAAAAAAACTAAGAACTTGTGTTCTGACTGGCCTTTTACAAGTGTTGCCCTCCTAGCAACTCACTTATATATATATTGTACTTACTAAAAGCATTCACTCCCAATTAGATGAAAAAACACAGCTGACTTTCAGAACTAGTTTGAAGACTAGTCTACACTACAGTATCATACAGTGTCTAGCCAAGTCTGGTATCCATACTCTCCCCTAATAGTACCTAGTTCACAAAGCAGAAGCTAGATGAAGACATGATAAATAATTAAAGGATTAATAACACTTAGACAACATTATACTTAAGAACCTTACCATCAACTGCAAAGGAATGCTATTAATCACATTACTATGTTATTAAGCATATATATATGGTGTATTTCATATATATGTATGCATGTATATAAATGTGTATATGTACAGATACACACACACACACACACACACACACACACACACACACACACACACATATATTTAAATTCTTTTAGAGTGGAAAAGACATTTTACTTGGGAATTAAATTCTAGTCTTCTGAAATAAAACAGCAAAACTATTTTTCAAACCAGTAAATGCTGGGTAGAGATGAGACTTTCAAAGCAGTAATCATAAATGACAACTGACTGACTGCAAATTGCCTAGTAAATTTTTGCTTAATTGCCCCCCTATGTGATAAGGTAAATAAACTTGGTTTGCTTATTTGATTTTTGTTGTTAATTTTTATTTATGAGCATATGTGTCTATTTGTGTATGTGTCTATCTGTGTATGTGTACATGAGTGCAGGTACCTGTGGAAGTCAGAAGAGGGCATTGGATCCCCCAAAGACGGAGCTATAGGTGGTTCTGAATCACTCAACAGACATGGATGGTGGCAACTTAACTTGGGTACTCTACAGCAAGCACTCTTAACTTAATTGCTGCACCATCTCTCCAGTCCCTTATCTGTTTTTTTGAGCCAGGATCTCTCACTGGCCTGGAGCTCACCAAGGAGGCTAGGGTGATGGCCAGCAAGTCTCAGAGGTTCACCTCAGAGGTTCTGCCTCTCCAAAGCAAACATTGCAAGTGGGGACCACCACAACCAGCTTTTTCTTTTTTCTTTTGCCATGGGTTCTAGCAATCCAATCTCAGGTCCTACCAACTGAACTACCTTCGCACTTTTTAGGAACACTTTTTAAAAACTGATATTTGGTCTATCAATGCCTATTCTAGCAAATAAGCTAGGTTTGAAAGAAATAAATGCTCTTAAGGATAAATGCTTAGCTTGATGGCATGAACTACAAGAATTCTGGTATGTAAATTAAGCCTCTGATTAACTTACTTCCTAGCAATTGTGGTTACCCGGATGCGTCTCTGCCCACTTGAATGCTGATACTGGGTCACAAACTGGATTGCACCTCGTCCTCCTTGAGGAATTGGAGCATTATGCTGTATAAAAATAAAAGTGCAGAAATTAAGCAAAATCTACTACACTGATGCCATAGCATCAAAGACTATTTTCTAGCACTAATAAAATTCATTCTAGGGCTAGAAATATAGCTTAATGGTAGAGTACTTGCCTAGCATGTACCAGGCACTAGGTTCAATTCACAACACTGTACATTATACATATATACATACATATATATTCTAAAGTTAAGCCTCCCACCAGAAAAAGCCCAGTGTCAGCTGCCTTTGCTACAGAAGTCTATCAAATATTTAATACCATTTTTCTCAAAAGAGTGCTATTCTTCCTATGGATTGATTCAACATATGCAAATGAATAAACGATAGCACCACATCAATAAAATGAAGAACAAAAAGTATCTGACCATCACCTCAATAAATGCACAAAAGGCATTTGATAAAATTCAGCATTCCTTCAAGATAATAATTCTAAAAAATTAGGTATAAAAGGACAGTACTTCAATATAATAAAGATCATGCACAAAAAGTCCATAACTAATACCACAGAGTGGGAAAGTTAACCATTTTCTCTCTATTGTATGGAACAATATAAGGATGCCCATTTTCACCAGTGTTAATAAACAGTACTACCAGAAGTCCTAGCCACAATAGTCAAGCAAGAGAAAAAAACAGGGCACCCAAATTGGAAAATCAAAATGTCACTGAAGATAACATAATCTTTTCTTTTATGTAGAAATTTCTACACACTCAACCAACAAAATTTAATGAAAAACTATTTTTTTAAACCAGGCATAGTGGCATACACCTGTAATCCCAGAATTTGGGAGGTAGAAGAAAAAAGATCAGGAGTTCAAGATCATCCTCTGCTACATAGTGAGTTCAAGGCCAGGCTGAGCTACATGAAATTCATCTCAAATGAACAAAAAACCCCAGAACAACTCATAAAAGAATTCAGGAAAGTTACAAGTACAAAATCAACATATAGGCTGGGGATGTAGCTCAGATGGTAGTGTTTGCCTAGCATGCACAAAGTCTTGGGTTCGTTCCCCAGCAAGGCAAAAACTGGGCATGTTTAACACCTGAATTCCAGCACTTGGAAAGTGGACGCAGAATTAGAAGTTCAAGGCCAGAATTCAAAACCAGCCTGAACTATAGGAGATACAAAACAAAACAAAAAATTACATCAGTTAATACTGATCCTCACCAATAGCAAATTCTCTGAAATAGAAATCCAAGGGCTAGGCATGAGGTTCAATATTGGCACACTTGCCTAGTAAGAGTAAGAACTTGGCTTTTGTAGAAATGACTTTCACAAAATGAACAGAATCTAGACTAATGACTTTTACTTGACCTTGCAACCAAAAAGCTACTGCTTAAATGCAAACAAGTTCACTGAGCCATGTGCTTCTGTGATCTGGGCTTATTACTTAGATCCCTTGAGACCCTAAACTTTTTGCCCTCCACCTCAGATAGTGAATGAATGTGGGTGTGCTTGAATTAGCAAATCAAATCCTATTTGTATCCTCATTTAGTCTATGAGATATTTTAGGGCTAGGGATCTAAGGGCAAGATTATCTGATAAGATAAGGGTGGATCCTAGCTTATAGTTCCCCAATTAATGCTGGCTAAAGATTTTGAATAAAAGTATAGGTAGGAGACATCTGGAGAAACAGGTGCTCTCTGAGTTTGGGTCAACTATTAAAACTAAAATTAAGAGTCAGGCTGTTCATTCAGGTACAACTGTAATGTGACTTAGTAACGCCACAGGATTCAATCCTCGGCACTGCTGGTTAGGGGGTGGGAAGAATAATACCATTTACAATAGCGTCTAATATAAAATACCTGTAAATAAATCTAACCAAAGATGAAAGAAATTAAACAAGACAGAAATAGAAAAACATCTTTGTTCATGTCACAGGAATCATACTGTTAAAATGTCCACACTACACAGTATAATCTACAGAGGCATTGTTATCCTATCAAAATACCAATGAAATTCTTCACAGAAGTAGAAAATGAACTAGGAATGAAATTCACATGACAAAATATTCACAGCCTAATTTAAGTATTCATTGACTTCTCAGTATTAAAATGTAGGCAGTCATACCTGATTAACAACTTCAAAATATATGGATAAGGTTGTAGTGGGACTGAGTCCACATATCTTCCACTGACAAGTGCCACCCGTTCCTATCTCCTGTAGAAATAAAAGACAGGATGTTTGAGAGCTAAAGAAAACAATTTATTAATATACACTTAGAAGAAAAACGAGGCTAAATCTCCAGTAAGAGAAAACATTCAGGTTTCAGACTAATTGAATGAATATCAAAAGCTTAAGATTTTTTTAATACCATATCACAAATAGACAATGAAATAAAGTTAGGAAATTTTTACTAACAAAATATTAACATAATTAAAGGTTTTACTAAGTAAATTAAAGGAATCGATGTGTGGCATATAAAAGCATACACTCTTTAAAGAAGTATTAACATGTAACACTACCTTTCTACCCAATCTGCCTATCTGTGTAAAGGGATACTAATTTAACACTTAATATATGCATATAAATAGGTCCTTTGCATCAGAATTATAAGCAGTCTAAATTCCAAGAAAATTTAGATACAGATCTTTAGTATACAAACTGAATATGAACTAATTTTGCAGTTCCAATAAAAGTGGGTGATCTATCTACTTTGTGCTATTGGTCTCATCACCCTGTCTATAGATATATGATTTTATAATTTTGGTATACATTATGCTTCTTCTACACAGGCAAGGGAAAAGAAAGGAATCTCTGATTTGGTTATTCTGTTACTAATTCTGATGACAAAAACCATTTGGAGTTAATTTTGACTTTCAGAAATCTACGAATCACCAACTCAGAAGAACTTTTTTTAAGGCACACTAAGACAAGGAATAACTTAGATATAGTGAATAGAGAGCTGGTGAGAGTACATAATTTAATTCTGAGATGGATTAAAGTCTATGTAAAAAGAGCAACCACAGACAGAAGTATACCAACGGACTGACTCATGCTAACAGCACACACACATGATAATTTCAAAAGTGCCCATGGCAGGTCTTTCTTGGTGCTAGCTTAGGAATTAACTAAATATTTTTTAGAATATAAGTGACTTACATTTTCAGACACACAAGGTCCTTTAGAATTAAGAGATACACAGGGTCCAATAGCTCCTGAAATCTTTATTTCCCTTGAAGTCTGTAAAATAAGAATATGATATTTATGGTTTCCTTAAAGATAAGCTCAGACTTAACAAGATGTCTCGGGAAATAAATACTCTGACCACCAAGCCTGGTGATTTGAGTTCCATCCCTGGGACTCACAGTAAAAGGAGAGAACTGACTCCTGTAAGTTGTCCTCTGACCTTCCACACATGCACCACAGCATGTGCATGCCTGAGTGCTCAAGCATGTGTATACACACATGCAAAAACACACACACACATGCACGTATACACATAATAAATAAATGTAATAAAAAAATTTAAATGACAAGCTCAGATGTTTATAAGTATTTAAGAATATGATATCCTCCTGTATTTAAAACTCAAAAATTAATGAAAATAAATATGCTAACATTAAAAATAATTAATCATGGGCTAGAGAGACAGCTCTGTGGTTAAGGACAATTATTGTTCTTCCAGGGGACTGGGTTTGATTTTCAGCACCCACAAGGCAATTAACAATTATCCGTAACTCCAGTTCCAGGGACTCCAACACAGTCCTCTGGCCTCTGTGGGCAGTGCATGCATGTGGTTCACTTACATACATGCAGGCAAAACACTCATACACATAAAATAATACATATTTAAAAAATATAGTAAATAATGAATCATGAAGTCCTGACTTCATTTTAATCTCCCAGTTTCTCCTTCTACCAAATTTGAAGCTATTACATAATCTTTATCTTAAACCATAAAAAAATTAAGAGGTCAGGGATGTAACTCTGTGGTAAAACACTAGCTTAGCATTGAAAAGGCCTTGGGTTCAATTTCCAGCACTAAAAAATTTTGACTTTGGGTTTGGTGGCACATGTCTTTAATCCCAGTACTTAGAGACACATGAGATGAATCTCCGTAAATTGGGTCTATATAGAAAGTTCCAGGCCAGTCAGGGCTACGTATTAAGGGATACCTATCTCGAAAAAATTAAATTAGAAAACCTATTTCAATTTTTCATTTGAGATTCCTTTTCCTAACCTAACCTGACCACGAAAGTGAAACTAGTCTTTAAAAAGCATGATTCTTCAGTAACCTACAAAGGACAGATATATACATCACTAAAAGGAACCCACAAAATTATTACTATGATTCTTCTCAAACATTTCAGGTTAAATTTTTTTTTTTTTTTTTTTTTTTTTTTGGTCTTTTTGAGATAGGGTCTACCTATAGTCACTGCTGGTCTGGAACTTGCTATGTAAACCAGGCTGGCCTTGAACTCACAGAGATCTGCCTCTGCCTCCTGAATGCTGGGATTAAAGGTGTGTACCACCCAGCACACCGGGCTGGGCCCTCTTTACACTGGACTCCTGAATAAAATATGTTTTCCTTTCATCTTTCTGTAAGCGTACTCCCCTAGGAGAAACTATGTCCCGAATATACTTATTTCTCAAATGTCTACATCACTTTTGTTTTCTACTATTACTTCATCTATCACGTGTTAGTCTTTTCTATGAATTTTCCCTATAAGATCACCACCTTAGAGATCTCTTCACATCTCTACAATTTCCTAGCATCATGATGAATACACAACAGCATTCAATAAATAAGATTAATAAGAAATAATACATAAAAATTATAAATTAGTGTTCTGGAATGTACATGTAATTAACACAAAGCCATCAGGTATTTTAAACCAAATTTTGAAATTCATGATAGAAATGTAACAAACACTAACCACAAAACTACAGAATAATTTCCTCTTAGGTAATTTCTGTCATTAAAAAACAAAAGGTACAAAAGAAGATGGTAAGAGAGTGCATCATCGTGGGCCTGTCACCCTGTACCCAGCATTTGGGAAGCAGAGGAAGGAGGATGACAGCTGAGGACAAACTGGCAGTGACTCTGACACAGAAAATCCAACATAAAAAACAGAGAAAAAGACACGTTACCTACAAAATTCTACTTTTTAAACAACTGTTCAGAAATGCTCCAAGTCTTTTTTATACATTTAATAATAACATTTCTTTCTAGGGAATAAAATCTCTTAACTCAAAGTTCTATAATAACCATTATTTTTAAATTACGTTAAGTGTACAAGATTCTCAACTGACAAACAGATCATCCATGTCAAATTTTGGTTCTTACCTTTATCTCTAATGTGCCACCAAAGCCCATTTTAAACTGTCCATGTATATCTTTGGTGAAGACTCTTTGAAAAGTTTGCTTAAATAAGGAAGTGTTGAAAGAGTCACCCATTACCATGTATCCTCTGCACAGAACAAAGCAAAACACAATGTATGTGAGACAATTAACTGGGTTCATGTGTTATCAGAAAACAAATGAATTATTCAAGACAATGGACAAATACTAAAGCTATTCCCCATGGGGGTGGTGAGACACTCAAGCAGTAAAGATGCTAGCCACACCCAACAACCCGAGTTCAATCTGAGGACCCACAAGGTGAAAGGAGAAAACCCATTCACACAAGTTGTCCTCTGACTCTCACACGTGTGCCTTGGCATTTAGATACACACACACACACACACACACACACACACACACACACACACACGCACACATATATACACACATACACCATCCTTCAGTTCTTGAGTGACCAATTGTCCTTTGCTCAGGATCAAAGAGTTTTCTAGGATCTGGGACTTTCAGTGTCAATCCTAGGAAAGTTCCAGGCAAATCCAAATCACTCTAGATTATCTCCT